CCAAAATCTAAACAACATATTAAAAATTAGGTGAATCACAAATCTGTATGCTTGCATAAAAATGGTCTCTGTTTTCTTCTCTATTTCTTTTTAATACTTCTTAACTTCAGATTTTTTTTTTAACCACTGTTGAGTATTGAGCTGAGACAATTCCATGAAAATGTACCAGCTCTAAGAATTTGCTCACAAATCTGTATGCTTGCATAAAAATGGTCTCTGTTTTCTTCTCTATTTCTTTTTAATACTTCTTAACTTCAGATTTTTTTTTTAACCACTGTTGAGTATTGAGCTGAGACAATTCCATGAAAATGTACCAGCTCTAAGAATTTGCTTATCATAGATTGGGTTGGAAGGGACCTCTAAAGGTCATCTAGTCCAACCCCCCATTCAACAGCAGGGACAATCTTCAACTAGATCAGGTTGCTCAGAGCCCCGTCCAACCTGACCTGAATGTTTTCAGGGATGGGGCATCCACCACCTCTCTGGGCAACCTGTGCCAGTGTTTCACCACCCTCAGCATAAAAAATTTATTCCTTATATCTAGTCTGAATCTACCCCCCTTTAGTTTAAAACCATTACCCCCCCTGTCCTATGGCTACAGGCCCTACTAAAAGTCTGTCCCCATCTTTCTTGTAAGCCCCGTTTAAGTATTGAAAGGCCGCAATAAGGTCTCCCCGGAGCCTTCTCCACACTGAACAACCCCAAGTCTCTCATCCTTTCTTCATAGGAGAGGTGTTCCATCCCCCTGATCATTTTCGTGGCCCTCTTCTGGACCCTAGAAGGGCAGAATCACCTCCCTCGACCTGCTGGTCACGCTTCTTTTGATGCAGCCCAGGATACGGTTGGCTTTCTGGGCTACGAGCGCACATTGCTGGCTCATGTTGTTTTGCATCCACCAGTATCCTCAAGTCCTCCTCCACAGGGCTGCTCTCAATCCATTCATCCCCCAGTATGTATGGATATTAGGGATCACCCCAACCTGGGTGCAGGACCTTGCATTTGAGCTTGTGAACCTCCTTTTTTTGCTGAGGGTGCACTCGATCCCACTGTGTCATTGATGAAGATATTAAATGGTACTAGTCCCAGTCCAGACCCCTGAGGGACACATCATGATTGATGATGGTCCGCTGAGAGCTCCTTGTTCTCTGTGTGGGACTCCTTTTCCTCACGTGCATAGCTTTACTTTTATCTACTTCAAATTTCGTCTATCATTTTATTGTCTCATTATTCGGGTCCATCTGCAGTTCTTCAATCTGCTCTTGGCTTTACTATCCTGAGTAACTTAGTATTATCAAAAAACCTCAGTGATCTAGCTGTTTGCCTGCTTTGTTACTGAGCTCACTGAACAGCTCAAGCCCCAACAGAGACTACTGTGGATACACACTAGTGATCTCCATTGCAAGAAATGATTCTTTGCTTCTAACTTTTGTTTCCTGTCTTTTAACCATCTATTTATTCATGCGTGGACTTTCCCATCACCCCAGGACTACTTAGTTTCTTTAAAAACCTTTCGTTAGAGATTCTATGTAAGTCCAAATATATCAAAGAGATCATCCACAACCACGTGTAACCCCTTCAAAACACTCCCAGAGGTTGGTAAGGCAGTTACCTTTATAGCCATGTCACAAATCCCAAGTAGGTCATTTTACCTCTTCCGGTGGCTTCTACTTGTTCAGGACAGACATCAGAATTACAGACCTGGATGCATTCTAAATATTTTCTTTAATACTTATAAATGTGTGTTTGGGGTTTTTTTTATTATAATCTTCTATTAAGAAATACTTCTGCAGAGAGTTTTCTGGATTAATTTTTTTAATGAAATTAACGTCATTGATTCCAACAAATCTACGGTTTCTTTGACCTTGATTCTTATTGATGGCTTAGAGCGCACCTCAAAGCCTTGACTTTGGGGACTCCCTTAATATTTCTCGCTTTGTTTCTCTAACATAAATTCTTTTTTAAATTGTGGGATGGAAAAATCTTCAAGGGTCTTTATTATTAGTTTGTGACAATTGACAGTGGATATACTCAAATAGATTCCTTTTTATCCACTAAACCGTAGCTGTATAACAAATGAAAATTTTGATGTTAAGCTTAATTATCAGTATAGTGCATGTTGAACATGCCTATATAAAGAAGGCTTTCCAAAATATAGACTTTGCAATGAAATGCTAAAAATTGTTTGATATACAAGATCAAAAATGTCCATCTTAAGTGAGTTTTGTTGTTTTTTTTCTTTTAACTGTATACATTAGTGTTTTGTCTGGATAGCTCAAGGTATGGTTAGAATTTATCCATTGTATGTCTGTGGTTTTATCCTGTGTTTTTAAACACTTCTGATTAGAAAGGATTATGACAGTCAAATGATGGAAAATACTATTAATTGATACTTTTAAGATGAATGTGACGATGATATAAATGACTAGGTTGACTAAAATTTCCAGTAGCTAACCAAACAAATTTTTTTATTTAAGAACTGTATTTTAAATCTCCTCTGGTACTTCAAAGTAGTTATGATTATTTTTCTTCTTCTAGTGAAGCAGCGAGTGAAGAAAGGGATTTGAGTGAGGTAAGTAACTTTTTTTTTTTACAAATAAGTCTTTGAATTTTACTGTGTGTGAATTACATTTTCTTAGGGGAACAAATGCTACTTTAGAGGTTTTTGAAAACTAGCTCGAGTCAGATTTCCAGCAAAAGGCTGGAGGCCCTTTTAGAGATCTAAGGTTTGGCCATTGTGAACATTCACAGCAGGATAGAGTTACTACTGCATGCTACCTACTGCATTTTATAAAAACTGCATACCAGATATTTTGGTCAGTAGATTAGGTGTATGGGAGGCTATGTACCACAGAGTGATAAACCATTAATAAAAGCCCTGAAATTGCTTCTAAAAAAAAAAAAAAAGGTTAAAATTAAGTTTGTCATGAATAGTGATGTAACTCCAACATCTGAGGGGAAATTTGTGTATGAGTGAGAGTCCTGTTGGAAAGATTTCTTCGAGGAAACAAAATTTCAGTGAATATTTATCACTTAAATTGTATCTATGAAGACTGTCATCTCTGAAAGACGGGAAATCTGAATAACCAAGCAGTAACATTCAACGAAACAGAGGCTGTTTTAATTACAAGGAGATTGTCATACATGGTGCAGAGTAAAGTTGCTAGCTGAAGTATGTCTTTGCCTCCAGCCATAGGTCATTACCGCTTTGAGTTGCTGTTGAGACAAGGATGTAATATTTGACTAGGAATGTAATCTCCCATTCCCCAGAGTGAATCCTGAAAAGTACTGTTTTCTGTATCTACCCACCATGCACAGGTACTACACAGTTAGTTGATGCATTGTAGAAGTGAAGGAAAGACCCAATCTATCCCATTCTTGTGCCTAAAAAAGAAGAAAACAGTCTGCTTCCACCCTGTTTTCCTGGGTTTTTTTCCACAAAGCATAGTATAAGTTCAGGTTCTTGGACTCTTCTCCTTTGTAATTCCTGCTGTGCAGGCGTATTTAAGTGTTAGAAGGGTTCTGAGAATAGTATTTAATTAATAAGTCTTCAGATGTCCAAATAGCCATTTAAGTGAACTAGATTTGGGGAATGTAGAACAGGGACATGTTAGGTATATTTATTTACATTTTTATTTTTCAGCCTAATTAATCTGAATGCTGTTAGAATAATGTCATGAAGTAGGAAATAGGAAGGCTTTTTTTTTTTTCCTGCAGGTGCTCTCCTTAGACTTCATTTCATTGAAAGATCTTAGCTAGAATCTAGCATTTCAGGCAGTTACCTGAGCCTTGTAAAGTGGTACTAGTATTTTATCATCTTTCTTGGATTTATATCAGTTAACACATCACAGGATCACTTTCGCATTTACATGACTGCAACAGTGGTAGTTTTATAGCCATCCTATGAGCAAATAATTCTTCCAGATCTCCCTACCTCCCCCAAATAACAAGTCCCTAGTGTGTCAGAGAAACTCTTGTTACTATTCCCTAAGCGCCTGACCTTGCTGTTCATGCTATTAAATATCATCCTGTTTCTCTTACTGCAGTCCTCAAGGTCATACATTTCATGCTTTGAGAGTCTCATCCTTTGTATTAACAGTACCTCATCACTATTTGTTAAACCTCTTTTTTCTGTGTCATTAATGAAAACATTATACGAAATACGTTCACAAGACTGAAATTTGTTTTCCCACCAGTGACATTCCTCCATTTCCCCTTTCTGCACAACTTGTTTTCTTCTCCCTGTTTGTCAGTTCGTTACTGAACAGTAAGTTTCATGTAGTACTATGCATAGATAAAGCTTGATATCCGCACCCCAATTCAATGATCTTCTCAAATGGCTAAATCATACTACATGCTGTAGCCGTTAGTCATTCTGACACAAAATCTCCAATTACATTTTTATTTCCAGAGCAAAGAGAAGAATAGGGCAACTCCACCCAGCTAACAGCAGCAGCAAAAACTAGTACAGCTTCCAGGCAGGCAGTTTTGCATTTCTGTGTTGCTAGGGGAACACCATCATCCAACTGAACAGCCGCTTCTCTCCTGAGTTGTCATGTAGCCCACTCTGGGTGGAAATGTGTTAAATCTAGTTGGTAATGAGACTTCAGAAAAATGAGAGTCTAAAAGATAGGAAATCAGATGGAGTTAATGAGACAGAAAAGGGACTGAAGGAGGAGACTGGGCAGGAGAAAAGAGTAGAGTTGCAGGAAGGAAGGCGTTGAGGAGGAAGGTTATATCCTATTTTGTCAGTGTTTTTCTAGAAGAAAACTGGTGAAATCCTGTGCAGAGTGAGGGGAATGGAAGGTTTGGGAAGTAGGGGATTCAGCTGAGTTGGACAAGTTGAACCATTTTGTCTCTCCCATTTTAAAATACCATCCGTGGAAGCCCCCTCCTGTTACTCAGACTTCTGTAATTTGTAATTAGCTTACTACTTAGCAACTGCAATTTGTCTCAAGTTGTCCATTTTTATTCTAGAAATTCTTCTATGCAACTCTCTGTGTTTCAGTGAAATGCTCTTACCTCAGCCCTAGCCAAATCTCCACCAGGAGTCTGTCTCTATCCTTGACAGTTAAACACCTTGAACACAGTCCTGTCATGTTCCTTTTCTGGATTCTGCCCCCTGCCATTGAGGTCTGTTGTCATCCCATCTCCCTGATAATTTATCAAGTAAGCAAATCCTTCAGAAAGTTTCATTATCTCCTCTGTCAAACAGTCACTTCCTGGGAAATTAAGTGAAATGCTGATCCTGTTCCACTTTTCTCTTTTCCCTATTTAAAAAGAACAGACAAAACCTCCACAACAACCTTTCAGTTATTTTATTGACAAAATATTCAGTTATTTTACTGTGCTGAATATGCACAGATTTTGTTTCTTATTCCTGACTGGTCTTCTCTTGTCTAAATCTAAAATCTAAGCATGGTAGTCTGAAGATTCCTAAACAATGACTCAAATAAAACATCTGAAATCCAGCTCTTGATTTTTCTCTTGTATTCCAAAAGTAGTGCCTCTTACTGTTTTTATTTTCCTCCCCTTTCTGCCTCCATGTTTATGGACATGGTCTTCATGCTACTCTTCCTTCTACCTGTTAGTCACACCCAGGACATGTACATTGTCTTTAGAGTGTTCCTCTCCAAGTGCTGACATCCCGGCAGTCTCCTTGATACAGTACAGTCCTCTGGAATATCATTTCTAAGTCTGTCCTTTCTCTCTGTGTGGTTAAAATTACAATCACGTAGCATCTTATGCTTTTTCTTTAGCTAATTAGCATCACTCCAAAATAAATATAAAAAGATGAGCCACCTAGTCTTTGAGCTGGCATCCTTCGATGAAGATTCATGCAGGCTTCCTTCTTCAAGGAAGGAAGTAGTCAAACTTAGATCCCTTGGTCTAGTCAAGCTTCTTCTTAATTGCTGAGAGGAATGACTTACTTCTCCCTCCAAATGTTTTTGAACCAAGGTGGCTTATCCCCTTTTGCTTTCCTCTGCTAGGCCTGGAAGCATAGTACCTCTGTAGCAAGTCAGCATGACTGATTCCACAGGTTTTCACAGCCTCTTTTGATCAATGTGGTATTTGTAAATTCCTTCACGGAGACTGATGGGCAAACCTCTTCCAACCCATTATGACTGTAGGAATGACCAATGACCCATGATGTGGTAGGAAGTTCTTAGTAAGGTTTTTTTTTGTGTTTCTTTTAGTGGAAAATGAAAGAAATGTTTTATGTATTGCCTTGATCAAATTTTGGATTCATGAACAATGACCAGACTAATACCACATTGCTATGAGGTCTTCTGCAGACCTGTAAGGGTTTACAGTCTAGAATGGACTGTTTTAGTTTTTTAAGCCATACAAAAAAGATTTAATGTGTGTATGAAAAAATATTTAATTATCATATTTTTAATTTTTCCCTCTGAAGCAAATAAGGAGATGTTTGCTTTGAAATGAAATATTTTTCTTTTTTTTTTTTTGTAAGGACTTATCTTTGTAAGAAAAACTTTCCATAATTCAACATTCTGAGTTAAAAAAAAAAAAGCTAAAGGAGAAGTTTTATCATTTTAAATCAATAAAGGAGGAAGAAGAACATGATGAAGATGCTGATAGTGTAGAAGGTGAAGCTGCTAGCAATGAGAGATTTCAAATAAAAGAACGCATTGCCAAGAAGTTGAAAATTGTTACTAGTGAAAATGCTAAACAGCAACTTCAAGAGGAAGAAACTAAGACAGTTTCAGTTAGATTTTCTGCCCAATTCCAGTTTTGCGGTTACTACATTGATAGGTTAGTATTACATTAAAATTATTCCCCCCTGCTCACCTCCAACTGTGGAAGATGAAATGGCCTATTGCTTTCTCATTTTTTAGTTTCATTTGGCAATTTGAGACAAAGTGTTAAGTTAAATTTTGTTACACTGAGCACTTGTATGGGAGTTTTATTTTTCCCTGTGAGTTATAAATTAAGAGTATTTATATGTGTTTATCATGCTTTACTCTGTCTTTCTACACAGTTCTAAGATTGAGTTTTGTAGCTTTATCTGTGATAACACATGGTGGTCATCCACCACTGAGACTTACAGAAAGTAAAGGCTTCCTAGTCATCCATTAAAGTCTGGTTTAACACAGTAGTCATTCTTACAGTGTACCAGTTTTTCAATAATGCAATTGATAGATCAGTTTTTAAATACCATCTAGGGCTGTTCTGAGAGGGTTGGAATATGTCTATGTTTAGTCGTGTAACACTGTATTCAAATTATTAAACTAGCTCTAGACAAATTGTTATGTTTCTGTAGCAATATTCTGCTCTTTACAGACATAAAAGCATGGGTTCCAGTCATGTATTATAGCTGTGCCAGCCTTCGTGAACATCTGTATTGATTAGCACTCAATTTTCAGTGAGTTAATTTGTTTTCTTGGAACCTTGTGTCTTGGCAGTCTTTCTTCCAGAGCTGGTTTGGGAATTTCTGCCTAATGATATTTATATTGCATAAAAACATTCATCATGTATGCAAGTGATGTGTAGTGGACCTGATGGCAAACTTACTAGGAATGATTGTCCAGTATTTCAATAAACGTGGGCTCCAGAAGTTACTGAACAATTAAGTCTTTGCAGTTATAAAGTTCAATGTGGAAATTTACTTATTCAGTGAAACTTACTGGGGGGTAAGGGGAGGAAGCATCAAAAAGATAATTTAGTTTTTGTACTCTAACTCTGCACAGTTGTCATAAATAACTGCCTGATGAAATTATTCAGGCTTTGCCTATACTAAATTCTGTGTATGTAGTGGCTGTCTTAGATTCTCTCCCACAACAGTTTCCTCTGAACTGAACCATTCCCCCTCTGTGTTTTGGGTTTTGGTTTGTTGGTTTGTTTGGTTTTTTCTTCCCCCTGTTTACCCTCACTGCAGATACGGTTTTTTATGTAATGGCCAAGGCATATTGCCAACACAGAAGAATCCAGGACAGTCTGTGACAAAAGAATACCTGGTAGTCAATATAAAAGCTTCACAAGTTCCATAGCAATTACCATCTCTGTTAATAACTGGGAAGTAAAGGCTTTGGGTCAAGACACAGGACGATACATTTGTTGTAATAATAATACACTTTAAGGTGTATTATATGTATTGAAACTTTGGTTGGAAACCAGAAGGAGTAACTGAAACAAAATCAGTTGTTTTACAGTCATCAGAAATTCACATATCTGACTTGCACCCCCTGCAGGTTATTCTGGCTTTATATGACTATATATACCTGCTAAAAATAAAAACAACTATATCTTATTGAACAAGGGGCTGTTGTCAGTTATGGTGGGCATTCAATCATTTTCTTAATTGTAAAACAAAACTAATTATTAAGAGAAAAGGGAAATCACACCCTGACATTTGCAACTTTGGTGGATATCGATCTGATTATTTTTACTGAAAGAATTTGGTATGATTTTAAAAACAAGATTAGTAAGTTTTGAGCATTCCAGATGAGGTAGAATTTTTTATTTTACTCTGTGTGGCCTATATATTTAGAAGCAGGCTGTGCTTTTAGAGTGGTAGGAGCACTTGCATTGTATTGGATAATCTTTTAATATTGGTATATTAAAATATACCAACTGTAAGTGTTGCTGTTTGTCTGCCTTTTTTGGAGCAGTGAAAAACCCAGTGACAACGTTGCCAAGAAAATATTTTTTATTTTCCACTTTAATAATTTTGAATAGCTCCAGAAAATAAAATATTCATGGGATTTAAGCAGGAAATTCAGTGTCCTTTTCTACGTCTTCTCCAGTATTGACTTGAATCTGAGAAGCACACCAGGTACAGTACAGGAGCCTTTGTAATTTGAGCAAAACTGAGTAGGTTCCAGTCAGTTCTTTTTCTGGCCCAGATGATGTTACTTCCAAAGTTCCTCGTAATTTTGTGTTTGCTGAAAAGAAGACCCAATGTACTTAATAGCTGGAGATAAATAAGATATCGTGCATTTTACATCAAAAATTCAACACAATAACATAAAAGGATATAGTAAACAAAATTTTTAATTTAAATGGGCATTAGTTTTTCCTGTCATAGGATTTTACTTTTAGTTAGAGGCAAGACAACTAACTTTCATGCTGTGGCAAACTTTATGTACTCAACAAGATTTGTGTGGTCAGATCTGTAAATTGATGTTAATCCATTTCTTTTGGAACCGTACGTAAATCTGATCTCTTTGTAGAACCATGTAGTGTTATGTACATATACATAAAACTATTTCATGAGCACTGGCTTTCTGTTTTTCATTCTTCTTTTCTCTCTATAAGAGCACCTAAATCACAGTATATGAAATTTAGTGTCATGTTTTTCATGGCTGTGCTGGATATAACTAGGTATTCTTTCAGAGGACATATACAAGACATCTTCTAAAAACCCATCCCCTGTTTTTCCTTACTGCCATCTTTGAAGTTGTGCTGTGTGGCTGCTTTGGAAATTGGTGGCTGTAATATCTCTGCTGTAGACAACTGGTCCACAGGAAGTATACTGAGATCAAGGAGGATGATGGGTAACTTGGATCCCAAAATCTGATTACTAGTCCTACGGTTGAGATCAATGCATAATCCCAGTGGTAAATTACATGAATATTTATCTTGTGTCTATTAAAATGGTTATATGTCAGTATGTGGAACAAGAGTACATGAGATAGTCTTCTGTCTCAAATCTTGCAGAAACATTGTGCTGAAGCAGTTTCCTGACTGCAGAAAGAAGTTCCTAGTTTTCAGTACTCTGCCTTCAGAGATTGATAAATCCTGCACCCTAATAATGTTTTTGATATTACCTATAATATTCCCCAATACAGAATAAGCATAAGCTTCTCAGAGTCAATGAACTGTTCCTGATCATGGAGATTGGACAAATACAGATTAGTGTTAAATAGCCAGTGGAGGTGAGGATTCAGAAATTTAGAAGTTCTCCAAGAAAAGCTTTTTCTGAAAAAGTACCTTCAAGTACATGGCAGCCAAATAACATCTTTAGAATAATAAAATGCATTGGACTCAGGTAGGTAGTAAGTACATACAATCTGCCCAACAACCTATCCACCAATCTGTTTAACTGTCTGTTGGGTTTACAGGGATGGCTGCTAGAAACAAATTTGCCTAAGGTATAATAGCAAGTTTGTAGCATGAAGGGAACATAAAGCTATAACATATCCTTAGGAATGCAATACTCTATGCCCAAGCTTGCATGATGTTTTATCACATTTTCAGAGACATTTGTGTAGGCATTCTGTAAGCTGCTGGCTCTGCATGTGGACCGTCAATGTGTTGTGTTTGTGGCTATTCCACTCTTTCAGGGTAGTAGCAGTAGTATTATAGCCAAATGGGTTATCTTAACTCAGAAGAGGGTTTTATTGGATGTGTTTTTAGCAGTTCGGACCCATAGCCTTGGGAGATACTGCTTAGTACCACAAGTAACATCAATTTCTAGACTTACTGTTTTCCAAATAATTGTCTGGCATGAAAATCAAAGGCATGGTATTGTTTGTTATAATTAAGGTGTTTAACTTTGAGGTCTGATGACATAAAGTAAGATAAACATTATCAAGTTTCACTGTCTGGAATAGTGACTTTTTTGTAAGTGTGCTGGAGATGTTTGATAATAGTCTCATGGGACTTCACCACCCACTGTAGTCCAAGTGTGTGTTGATCAGAGCAGGCAGAGATGTGGGAGGTGCAAATATCAAAAAGTTGGATCCACCATACATAGCTTGAAGGGTAATGTCTACTAACATATCAGAGGGCCAAGAAACATCTCGTATCTATTAGAATTGTTCATCTCATCAGATATTTAAATGTGCTAATAGAATAATTGAACTTCTAAAAATATTTTTGCAGAGTACTGTCTTTTAACATGCATGACTTTTTCTACAAATCTGTATTCATTTGTATTAGTCCTGTTTCTTTTAACAAAAATCCATTTGTGAAGTCATAAGTTTGCACATCTGTTTCAGAGAAACAATATGGAAACAATAGACACCATGAATTTAAGAAGGTACTGAAACCCAATACCACTTCTAAATGCAATCAAACTTGGAGTGCTCAAATGGTGATGTTAATTTTAGCCATTTCAGTATGCATTTGAACCTTTTGTGTATGTTTTAAAAAATAATTTGAGACCCTTTTCAATTTTGTATTAGATAGGAAACCTTGGGGAAAAAGAATTTCCCATTCATTCTGTCACGTTGTTAGAGAAATTCCACAGGTCTGTTGTTTTTTTATTCGAAAGCTTAAACCTAAACTTCAAAGTATAGAACAGCTGTTTACATGAAGGAATGTATACAGATAGAGAAGTGTTTGCCATCATTGCAATAGTAATCAAATTTATCAGCATTACATTGCATTTGTAAAATGGCAGTGGCTTGAGATGATCATCTGAAGGCTTCAGAGTAAACAGTCCTCTTCTAGTTTGGTAATTATAAATACTGGATTTACACTTGTTTTCATCCTGTAGGTGGAGCTCGGGTGCTACACATTTCTGGTTACCAGCTTTTAAAAATTTTCACTGCTGCTTCTTTGCAAGACATGCAGTGTGCAAGTAGAGTACAGGTGATTGTACAGTTATTCACTGTACAGTCAATAATTTCAGTTGAGTCCTTATAATGGATGTGCTATTAAATAGCAATATGCAATTGGTGTCCCGCAGGGGTCTGTATTGGGACTGGTACTGTTTAATATCTTCACCAATGACATAGACAGGGAATCGAGTTGCACCCTCAGCAAGTTTGCAGATGACACCAAGCTGAGTGGTGCAGTCGACATGCCAG